AACTTCTTCTCAGTGAGGGTGACAAGAGCACAGGTTGTAAGGCAGGGGCTGGGAATCCTCCATGACATCCGTGCTGCAGTAATGCTCACAGGTCTCTGTGGGCCCTGCTGGCTGGGGCAATTATGTTGGCCCAGAGCTGTCATGCTCAGGAAGACAAGAGCAAGTGAAAAGCAGAATTATTATTCTCACTTTGCAGAGTGGGAAAGGAAGGAGCCTGAAGCAGGTTCCCATGGACAGAGTGGTGAGAAGAGTAAATCTTCTGTCCTCTGATGTGCTCAGCCTCTGCTCAGAGGCAGCAGGCAGCACCCCTCCTGAAAGGCACACATATCCCTGTAGCTAAACAGGCAGGTCACCCGTCACTCACTCATGCCTGCAAAATGTGCAATGCTGGGCTACTTGTCTTTACTTCAAACAAACTGTCATACCATAACTATGTGCATCATTTCATTCAGTACACAGTTTCAGGCTCTGTGCTGAAGCAGCCATGTTAAACCACATGGATCTTTACCTTGGAGCAAATTAAACCAGTATGCACTCCAAGTAATAGTTGGAAATATACCCTAGCAGCTTCCTAGCAGCATCTCATCATTCTTATCCTACATATCTGTCACTGTTTTCTGAGGCTACTCACTGGTTCATAAGCTTTTCTCCCTCTCTCCTTACAAAGCAATAAATGCTAAGAACTGTTTAAAGAGGCTTTCCAAGCTTGCTTCATTTGTTCCTATGTCTAAGTGCAGATGTGAAGACTAAATCTCTTATGTGCCCAAGTCCATGCTGAAAATGCAGTCTCCTGGAAAGGTAGCTGAAGATCTCGGGATCTTTACAGTCAGGGACCTTTGGGGGTTCTTTTTTGAAGTCTTTATTCCCCATGGCTAGGGAGCAGGCTGATGATCTCCTGATGTGCCTGTCACACGGGAATGTCCCGCAGCTTGCCTCCAGCACCAATTTGTGGCTGAGGATGCAGGAGATGCAGGATGTCATTCAGGAGCTGCACCAAGACCTCTCATGGACTGGGATTTCAGCGCACTGGCAGTTCCACCTGGAATCAATGCTGCTTTCACTGTTGGTTACCTACACGTAGTTCAGCGTATGTTGTTCACACTTGGTTACGGGTGGCATCGCTCTTGCACTTGAGATAAGACTGCTGGCAAAATTAGAGATGTCAAGTCCAGATCAGACCCATCAGGTATTTAGGTGCTGAGCTCGTACAGAAATAAATGCAAGTGAGGGTTGTAAACACCATTTTGGAATTGGACTCCACTGACATTAGGAAGTAAAGGGTGGTGGGAAAAGAGATGTAAGGTTGCAAAGAGTAAGTGTGAGCACTAGAATCAAATTAACTTCAAGGTGGGAAACACACTAATTTTATTAGTGTCCCAAAATAAGAATATGGCATTGTTTAGAGATTTCTTGACTCAAATTTACTTTGACTATGGATCATTGTATTTCTTCTGCATTCTTGAAATGGAAGTTGGCATGCCTTAGTAAATGGCAGCATTTCCATGGTGTGCAGCATGGCTTGAGGCAGCAAAATCTGGCCCTAATACTAGAGTAAAACAAACTGTTAAAATAGGAACTGAACCAAATGCCCAGATCTCCTCCCCAAATGCAAACTAAACCTGTTTTGAGGTTCAGGAATGTTTGGTTAACTTTAAATAAAACAATGTTGTGTTTCTACACATCCTGCTTTCAACGATGCCTTCAAGCAGAAACACAAAAATATGGCAGGCAGATCTATGTTTGCACTATTTCTGGCCCAGCTTAAACCAGGAAGCACTGGAAATCTCACAAAAACAGCTTTGTCTCACAGGATATCCAGCTCCCAGGTTCCGTCACCCAGTAGAACACAATGTAACGCATGTACATACCAATTTATTATTAATTTTCCACCCAGATGATTGTGATAATCAAATTTCTGGGACTATCGGCCATATGAAAGCCCTATTTTTACTTTATTGTGTCAGCACACTATATGGCTACGCTCAGTCTTACTGAGTTGTTGGCATAGTTGCATAATGCAAGACAAAATGTCTCTTGTGGTACACGATAACAACTGCAGCAAATTATGACAAAGGTAACAAACCAGACATACACCATTTTGTGCTTCATATCTGGTTCATGGCTACTTTAAAACATGTAATGGAAAACTTTGTTGTTTGACATCTCTTTGACAATGCTCTTTATTGAATTTGTAGAGCATAAATGCAAATACAATAGCATTGCTTTAGAAGTACATATTTAGCAGTGTAAAATTGCCCTGTATGTCACAGCAACATTTTAAAAGCACTTCTGTGTACCAGACTTTTGCAAATTCATATGTGAAGGAACATTTAATATTATTGCTAGAAATCATATCACTGTCAGCAAAACATAATACAAACACCCTGATTACTCAGCTATCTGCTCTACCACAACAAAGTCATCCCCAACGATACAGTACCACAGCTTCATGTTTCCTAGCCAGATGTATTATATTTTCCAGATTCTAACAAGACAGTTATTAAGAAATGCATGTTAATCATTGCCCTAATGAGAACAATATGTAGTTAGCATTTAGGTTGTCACAGAAAATACAGAAGGTGAGGACAGCCTCAATGCACTCTAAATTCAAGGAAACCAAATCCTTCTTTCCACTACCACGTTTCAGGGAAATGGTTGTCTGAGAGAAACTTTTTAATGAACTACCTAAATTTTAGCAAGTATGTATATATGCTTTCATTAGGCACAAGGCAAAGTAAAATGCCATTCTGACCACAACTGTGGAAGCAAAATAATCAGCATACCACTTGCTTATGTACAACAAGCTATGATCATATAAAGCACTAAAACCCTGCCCAGCATCTCTTCTCCAGAGAAACCAGACTTCGCAGTGTTGCACTGTTTTTACCCAGACAACTTCTGGCATAAACAACTACCAAACATGTGTAAGAGGACAAGAATTTGGCTTTAAACATATTTGCAAATAGTAACTAAAATGCATGCCTAGACTTACAGAATAAGACAATTGATTTGATTTGGTAAAAGTGCAAAACCCACCATCATTACACACTTTTGAGAGCCTGAAGGTGCATTAAGATTTGGTTTAAATTTCCTAAAGCAAAATACATGTGCTTCCTACACTTCTTTGGTTAGTTATTTATTCTCCTTCAGGAAACTTTCACTCTGCCCGCCAGAAAAGAATGTGGAGATGATAAGGTCTGAAATGCTGGCTGAACAGCAAATAGGGCAGGCATCAATGGAGTGGGTGCAAAAGAAAGCAAGATTGTAATTTCAGCTTACACTGCAGTGCCTTGCAGTTGCACCAGACAGAAGACGTCTAAAACCTCTCCATCCCATTCCTCCTCCTCACATTGGTCACACAGCTCTGTCTTTCGCTTCATCTGGATCGCCAGGCACTGTGCAAATGCTGACTTATCCTTTACTAATCATGTACTAAGAACAACTTTTTCTCCACTTCTACCTGGAATTATAAAGGTGTTTTCATACACTTTGAGTAACAACTTCTGAAAATAGTTACAAAATATTAAAGCCATTAAGTGTGCGGTACCACCTAATCTCTTTGCATAGGCTAAAACCTCTGTATAGGTTTCACATAGGTTAAAACTGCCTTGAAAAATGGGTGCTAAAGTAAAATATGATTGAAAAGTGTCTTATTGCACCTTATTGGAACATAAAACTTTGGCTCACATTTTTGGAGGTGTCCTTCTCCCTCCTTCACATCCTTTCATGCCACTCTCACAGGAAACAGAAAAGCAATTTTGCACGTGAGCTAGCATTACATGAATAGAGCTACTCCACTTTCTTTTCAGAAAGAAAAAAAACAGCTCAAACATCAGACTAAGAGCTTCCTGAAGGGCAGAAAGAAAGAAAAAAACAAAACAAAACAAAACGAAACACAAAGGAAAACAAAACCAAGAGAATGAGTTTCCACACTTTTGATGTACATCATTGTTTAAAATGGGCTATTTTTCAGTTAGGGATGAGGTCTTACTCAGGACATATTTCCCCTTTCCTCAAGTCCCCAGAAGTAAGAGCAACACCAAAATCTAGCTTTTCCTTTCTGCTGTTACCATTATTGCAGTCTGCTTCTGCTTTGTTTTCTTGAAAAAATAAATAATGAAACCTTTGCAAAAGGAAAACCAGCCACAGCTTAAATAAATAGTATCTATAAATAGTATCTTAGTCGTAACTATATAATACTGCAAGTGCATCACTGAACAGATTCATGTGATAAAAAGAGATCTTTTGTGTCACATATTTTACTCAAGTTAAATGTTTATATTCTCTTTCAAGTGAAAACTTAAAATTCCCAAAAGAGCAACAATAAGCTTGAAAAATCAGGCTAGACGTCAGCAGCTGACTATTAATAACCATCCTCTGTGCTAATATTTGTTTGCCCGGGGCAGCCAGTGTCCATAATCAGCATTCGTCTTTCATCCTCCTCAGCTGGGCTGTCTGGCAGGTGCTGGGTGGGGTGAACACCGAGGGGTCGGCAATGCCCAGCTTTAGATCAAAAAAGCGAGTGGAGGTCGTCACGCTGTAGTTCTTTGTGTAGGTTTCCTGTACCGGGTAACAGTCTTTGACCGTGTAAACGCCAACCCAGGATTCCACTGCAACCAAGCAGAAATGTGACTACTTTAGATGAGGAACATGAATGAATGTGTCACGATGATGTTAGAGAGTCAAAAAAATGGCCATTCCGCAAGCAAAGCCTATAGTCTGCAACTGCCCATATATTTCTGCCCCTATGCACTGTAACACCAAGAAAGGCCAAAAATCTGGTGTAATTTGGACACCACAGTGATCTTAAACCTGAACATGTTGGTGTCAAGTATGTTTCAAATGACACCATCACGGCATTGGTATGTCACCTTTCCAGTACACCTCTCCTGAAGGACCGTCACTTCTGCTGAATTCTAAATTTTGATGTGTTCTGCAGAAGTCTGATTTTCTCTCATTTCTCGTGCCTTTTCAGTATCAGCACTTACTCACTTCACCCGTAAAGCAATGCAATACTCTGCTTTCCCAGAAGGCAAATTTTGGGTGACATGGGGACATCTCACCTTGCACTCTGTTTTTCACGAGTTGAAAGGTGTAATTACCGAAAACCTGTGGTTAATTTCAAAATGTTGGCCCTCAACTCAGCCTTTTACACTCTAAAATACATAGTTCCCCAAACTACATGGGACATCCAATTCCTTTCTGTGCACAGGAAGTCCTGCACTCACTACCCAAGGAAGAACTTGTCCTCTGCTGTGCTGGGGACTCCTCTGCACCAGACCTGACAGCCACAGCATCTTGCTTCCACAGCCTTTGGTCCTCTATAATCTTAACTGCCATTCTTACACTGATGATAATCAACACATCTTTAATACAAATAAACATTACTTTGTTTCACCTTTTTCCATCTCACTGTCACAAGCACAGAGGGTTTGTTTCATTTGAAGAGGAACATTTCCAAATACAACTCCAGTGCCTCCATCTCTTATTTTAAATCATTCCATCAATTCATATGATCATTATCATGTTCATTCTTTAAATTCCTATTCCTCTCAAACATTTCTACCAGTTCATTAATTATTTCAAGACTACACTCAATGCTGATATCCTCCATATAAGTGACATAGCAAGTCTGTCCCTTTTTTTAACTTCAGTTTAATTCCATGATGTGCTTATCTCAGGGCTTTTCTATTGCTCTCTTCCTGCCTTGTCCTCTGCCATCACTAGTATATTCACCACTAATCTACTTCACCACTAATCTATTTCTGCAGTGAAACCACCATCGAGGTGGTTTCCTTTGAACATCCTTCGCTTCTAAAACCTCACTTTTAAATCTTGTTTATTTATCCCATGCATCTCTTCTGTGTTCTTTCTTTACTCCTTCTGTCATACACCACTTCATCCAGTTGGTTCATTTATTTCTGATCTCTTGACAGCAGAAACCCATGAGGTCAAAATACAAAATTACCAACTGTGATCATAAATCAGTTCCTCTGAGTGATGCCTGCATGATTTTTTTCCACTCCCAAGGAAGCTTATTTTCTCTCACTTGGCAGCTACCAAACATAATTCTTTTCTGTCCTTCCAGTATTGTGTGATACACTGCACCACAATCACATTATTGGAAATTGATAAGCTGCATATACAGCATCTAAAAAAGGGTGGCAAGCTGTGCAATATTTGAACATAACACTCCAGGGCATCCTAATGTACCAAAAGCATTCTGACTACAATGAGTCTAGTTTTGAGTATCCAGAAATGGAGGATTCTTTTCCTCAACAAGTCTTTTATCAGAATTTTGAAATAAAAAAATGAAGTAAAATATAATGCTACCGAGGCATCCTCTATCTCCACTGAAACCTTAATAATTTTAACAGAAATATAATTTCTAGAATCCAAGCCATTATTAGCTGAAAGGTGGATGGGTAGACAACTTTAAGTTACTATTTTTCAGAATGATCATACAGGAAAGCACTGGAGATTCAAAATACTACAGGACGAAAATTACACATCGTTAACTGAATGTATCTGGATATTAAGTTCCATAAAAGTTCCAAAAATACTGGATCTGAAAAACAAAATTCTTGGAGTGAGTGATAATTTGCCTCTTGTAGAATACCAGAGGATATGTCGACCTAGTTACAGAGGTCTAACAATCTTATCCTTCATTTTCTGCTTGATTCTTTCTACTTTTATTCAAGAAATAAATCTTTTCCCCTGGCGAAATGCTCGGGTTCATAACCAGTCTATATATTAGGTGTCTACAACCATAAGCATTGCATTAGCTGAATAATGCCATCAATTACATGAGGGTTTTAAAATTATTTTTATAGTTGTCTGGGTTATCAGTAAACCAGAGATGAAATTTAAGCCAACATGTTAATAAATTGCTATGCATCCAAAACCATAACATACTGTACCCTGGAAAATTCAGCCTACTTTCTTTTATGACGCAGGTGTTCAGCTGGGAAATGCGGAACTAAGCCTTGAGAGCAGATGTTTCTTACTAGTGTAGTGGATAACAAACCTTAGGTGCACATTAACAACGTCTATTGTTGCAGAACCATATATTGGATGTATTCTATGATAGCATTCGATACTGGTGTGTAGACACACACTGACACCTAATCTGTTTCTATTATGCACAACCTAGTTTGAGTGTGCCCCTAATTATATTACCAGTTCTTCTCTGGATACATTTTGGATACAGGCTGCTGGAGTCAGATGGAAAATTATGCTGTTTCATGCCAAAATCTGTATGATATGAACTAAAATACAATAAAGTCCCTTGGACATATTTGATCCTGCTGAGATATGAAACATTTTCTTAATAAAATGCACTGATAATAAAATGAAACCTGGTGCATAGGTTTTATTTATTATTTCTTCCAGCAAACTTTATAGAAAAATGGCAATCTGGGGTGAAATATGAATAATTTTATTTTCCTCTGAGTAGCAGAGACAATGATTATTATTAAAATGAAAAAAAAAGCATGCACATACATTTCCTGGCTGGTTTTCTGTCAGACCATTCCTGTACCATAACTTCATCTCCAGGTCCCCCGATGTAATACTGATCTTCATAAGTTGAATTGGCGGGAATATCATAAGGATCCCATGGCTCTGTCAGAGCAATCTTCGAACAAAGCTTTGTAACTTGTTCAATCTGAAACATCACTGCATCTTTGTAGAGCAATATATACTCAAAGAATCTGAAACAACAAAAAGCAGTTAATATATATAGTCTTTTTCTATACTAAGCAAGAGGCATTGCTGATAAGTAAGCCTGCCTTTGACTTCTCAGCATAAGACCATTTTCATCTGCATTACACTTTGCCAAACTTTGAGGAAGGCCAACCAGTTAGCCTGAAATTTCCCATGCTGAAAGTTTGTCTCAGCTGACTTTCCAAAATAAATAAATCAGTTCAGCCATTTCTAAGAACAACAGAACAACCTTTCTGAGAACTAGTCAGAGAAAAACATGTTATTATTCCTAGTTTGGGTTTTTTTGGTTTTTTTTTTCTTTTTTTTTAATAACTGTTTCATTAAAAAGCTCTAGTGCCTCCCATGTTTTGGAGAAAGGACGTGAAATTTGGCAGGTGAAAACATTTTATTAAAAGGTGCCCAGATTTGGCTAATTTATAAGCCTTTGAAAAAAATCTGCTTGCATAGGCTGGATACATTCAATTCCCCATGACCGTTTCTCTGTGCTCGTTAGATATGGTATCTGCCATCCTCACAGATGAGCCTCCATGGCAACCCATGTCGCTTAGTGGGACATGCTGGTGCAGGGGGAAGTACACAGTCCCAAGTGCAGAACTGAGAGGGTTTCCCTCTTAATGGCAAAGTTTCTCTCTGGAAGTCATCAGACTCAAGTAGTGAAAGGAGAAAGCAGAGGAGCAAAATAATAATGCAGAGATAAGGAGAGGTGTGGAGATCAATGAGCTTGAGAGCCCAGAAGGTGAGAGCAACAAAATGGATAGTTAATAAGCATTTAAAAACAATCTTCTATAGAGCATGAAGTGACCAAGCCCTGGTCTGAGGAGAGATGATAAACCTCTTTATGGACATTTTCATCTAGTTGCTAGCTACACTAATTGAGTCTACCACAAACACTGTGACTTTGCTTCCATACCTATAAAAAGGAGGTAGTGTGATCCGTACCTTATAACTGGTGACAGAAACTCAGAGAAACTGAAATAAAAATTATAAGTAGCAGTTGATTTGTATATGCAACCAGAAACAACCACAAGCCTAACTTCTCCAGAGTACTTAGCACTATCAATCATCACTCATAGCATCCTCACACATGCTCCGCATCTGTTGCAAAGGAGAGCCAGGAGTCAGCCTCTAATCCTCACCAAAGCTCTGCACTCATTATGAGAGGCTTCCTGTGAATATCTCAGCTCAACTATTTGGCTACAGTCTACTGCTATGCAGTAGAAAAGGAAAGGATGGTATCAATTCCCTCAAACAGCTACCTCTTCCCATCCGTAATTCCTTGCTTCATTCATGATGCTGCCTCCATTTCCTACAAAAAAAAAAGGCTTGAGTGTTCTTCAGACAGTGGTGTCTTCCACTTCCCAAACCTGATGCTAGCCCCTAACAGTATTCATCCTGTGCTGTCAGCAAGGTGGGAAACTGGTGAAAAATGGTGCACACTCCATATAATTGAAGAGATGATGAACGAAAGCAAAAGGGAACCTTCTCCGTGGTATTTCCCAACTCCTGAGTGTTTCTCTTTGCAGTCTTTTGGGGCGGATGTAAAGTTTACATAAAATAGGGCTGACAACAAAACATTTTACGATTTTATTTGTTGCAGTATACAATTGCATCAGACAGGAACCACTTTACCCACCACAGACACAGAAGTACTTAAAGGCTGCACTATGAGAAGTGTGTAAGCATGGTTAAAAGCATCTGAGCAACTTTCCCATCACTTCCTGAGAGGATCATTTATCCAGGCAGGCTAAATGGCATTAGCCAAACTGAACAGTGACGAAGAATCTAAAATGGGTCAAGGAGGCTGACATGAGGCAAGCTAGGGCATACCTCTCACAAATGACCTTACACAACGCTGGAGGTACCTTCTCCTGCTTTCCGTGAGGGAGTCTGTCACCGGAAACTTCTCACATATTAACAAGACTCACACAGAGAGGCTGACATGCCAGAAGATTATATATTGGCTTCCCTGTGGTAAATTGTTCTCCTGCCCATGTCTTAAAATACTCCTGGTTCTGCAATGACTTGTACCAACCTAAACTTGTCTGTCATTTCCTTAGTCAAAGGCAATGTCTCCATCATCGTGATACGCTCCTGAAGAATTCAGTATATACAAACTGGTTCCTTACGTAAACCCAAGTCTGTGACCACGTAAGAACATACATAATTTTTATATCATGTTCAGTCCAGAGAACATACTCACAAGAACACTAAAATACACTTACTTAGGTGTTTGCAACCAGGCTCTAATGACTCAACTACTGTTCAGCTGGCTGCCCAGCAGCTCCCATAAAAGTGGGATGGGGGATGCCTTACAGATGTGTCTATCAACATGTTTGAGACAAATTTCAGTGATAATACAGTAATTTTGTGAAAGAACAAAAAAGCAGTATATTAGCAAAGCACTACAAACTACTGAGAATAAAATTGAAACAATTACATGTTTTTTTATTTTAAATCCTTACTTAAAATTTGTTTCACACAGAAATTTTATTTGCATTTTTAACAATAATTTTTTCATGTATCTTTTTCCTTATCCTTTTATTAATAAATTATTTCACAGAATAAATATCTTTTGTTCTAAATTTTGTAACCTATGAACTGATATCATTGCATGAGGCACACGTGCCACCTTTACTCAAGTGAAACAGTAGTTCAAACTTCAATCTGACAAATGCATGTATTTAACTTCTAGCACATGTACAGCCACTGTAACTTCAACAGATGGCCTGAATACTTGCAGGAGAGTCACAACCCAAAAAAGCCTACTTTCTTGACTTTGTTGTCTTCCATGCAGGCAGCAAGATGTGTATTATAAAACAACAATGATGACAAGAATTAGAAAAATCCAAACAAAACAAATTCAACACCAGCACCCATTCTGCAGATCAAAAGGCTCCACAACCTACATACTTCTTCCTGCTTCTTACCTCTTCCGTGGCTGACATTTCAAGAGGGACTTGTTTACCATCCTAACCCTGAGGCCTACGGCCCCACAATATTAGCTGAGTATAACTCTGTGCATTTTATATTATAACTGCTATTAATAATAGTTTATTATTATTTTTTATTAAATATATTTCTGTTTCAACCCACAAATCTCCTTTCCTTTTCCTGACTCCCCTCCCCAGGTGGGGAGGAGGCATCGGGTGACAGAGAAACTGTATAAACCACGACACCTACATTGGAGAAGTTCATGGAGAACTGTCTCCCATGGGAGGGACTCCACACTGGAGCAGGGGAAGAGTGTGAGGAGTCCTCCCCTGAGAAGGAAGGAGTGGCAGATGGGATGTGTGATGAATTGACCATAACCCCCACTCCCTGTCCCCCTGTGCTCCTCCGGGGAATGAAGTAGAGAAATCAGGAGCAAAGTTAAGCCTGGGAAGAAGGATCAATCTACCTCAGAGAGGCAGAGCAAACACACGCGTAACAGACCCCAGTTGTGCTATCTGATGCACTGCTGGGATGTACTCACACACAAGATGACAACTGCAGAGAGCGTGGGTCTACTCACTGTGCATGGCAGCCCTGGGTAAGCAGTGAATGGGATTTCCACTGTCATTATTCAACTCGGATGTACCTCACATCCAAGTTTTAAATAAAATTGGTCCTGTGTGTGTCCTGGAAGCAGCAAGCACAGAAACATAAGATTACACAGGACCTGAGTTTAACTGCCTATGAAAGGTGAATGGTAAAGTTGTTGTTTTATAAAGAGAACTGCTTCCCATCCAAAACTAATAACAAAATGTGCATGAACATACAAATGGCAATCTAGCATATTTTAAAACAAAATATTTAAAAATAATTTCCTCTTTTTTTTTTTTTTTTTTTTTTACTGGCCAAGTCCTAAGTATACTGCCTCTATTTGTTTAGGTGCCTGAGATTTCATTGGCTGCTTGACGGGAAGCACAAACTCCTCAAAATAGGTCTTGGCAATGAAGCAGAAGAAGAAATGATTTTTAATTAGTTTGGTTTTTTTTCAGAAAAAGTAATATATTTGCAGCCTGTGTCCCCCTAGTATTATTTTTATAATACTTTCATTTCTTAAACTATAACTTCAAGAAAGTTCCAACCTGTTCACTGAGTACCTTCAAACAGATTTGGAGAAGTTACTTGGACAAGTTACCCTCTTTGTCTGACTGAGATTATTTCCCTTCCTTTCTATTCTATTCCATCCTACACTGTCCTATGCCTCACACTCTTTGTATACTACACCTTTAATGGGACTCTCTCATGGTCCTTAATACTCCCTTTGTCTGTGCCTGAAATGAAAAAACTTCAGCATACAAAGACACACACATGTTTTTTTGCTCCTATACTTTAAAGAACTTCTTTACACTGGACCACATCCTGTGCAAATAATTCCCTTGACTTTGCTGGAAGCAATCATGTCAGACAGGTGGGATACACGCTGTGTTCAGCACCATCTTCTCTCGAGCTAAGGAAAGTATTTTTCTGAATAGGAGCCCAACTGAATTCAATGCAAGGGCAGAATACTATGCCTACACAATCACAAGGCAAAGCACTTGTATTGAGAACATACTCTGAGAAGTGGGTGTGCATCCAAATACCACCCTACTTCTGAGATTCCTCCTGAAATTTGGGGAGGCAGTTAGAGATGTCTCCCAGGAGACAGCCCACATAACATAGAGACACACTCTTGGACCCTCAAAAATGACTGAAACCAATAAAATTATCTAATGGCTTGTCTTTTGAATCGATTCTTGTTCCTCATGTTATGAGTGCAATTCAAAACAATTAATTATTTTTTAATATTTGTCAGAGAAAAGTCATTAGACTCCAGACCATGCCACCAGCTCTGTTCCAAATACTCAGTCTGCACCATGTCCTGCCAAAAAGTGCCCTATGCTGCAGCCCTTCCCCTCTGTCAGTCCTGAAGCATGCTAGCCTGTCTATCACCTAACACATCTTCACTTCTGCACTTCCAAAAGCTTCCTTCCAAGTATCAAACCTAAAAGAAAGGAGCTGCTTGCTGTCCAATTGCCTTCATAGTGACTCGGAGGAGCAGAGGTTCTGGCAGCAGCATGCCAACACCCACATGATATATCGAAGCACATTGGACAATGTCATTTTCTAGAGAGAAACAAAATAATGGTCTGAGGCTGAGACAGGTAAGAGAAATTTCTTGTCTGCTAAATTTGGCTCTGCATCTTTTCACTCTGTGGCTTTGGACAAGTAACTTAGAGTACTGGAGCCTTAAAATGCCATCTTTGTTATTTACTTTTGATTGCTGTAGCACTGAAGAGCCACAAATCAGGGACCAAGAACCAGCTGTGTGAGGCATTGTATTAACAAAGAACAAAACCATGATTTCTGCCCCAAAAACCAATGGAACAATGATTCCTGTAACACAGACTTTCCTTTCCTGCAAAGACATATGGGGTTTCCTGTATCCAAAGCTATAACCTGTTGATTCAGTTTTCCCAGCTGCAGATATTGTACCCTTAAAACACCCACTTGCATTAACCAGGACTTATGTTACATACTAATTACTATAAAGCAATTGATAAAGCAAAATTTTATGTATCATTTGTATCAAAGATATTGTATTACTCAGTGGGGAACAGTATTTGATATTTAAGATATCAAATTGAAGGTACTGCAATTATTCCTAAGCTAACTTTGCTTTCTCTTTTGAGATGAATTGAAAGCGTGAAGCGTCTGTCTGCCTTTGTGGTATTATTTAATTCTTTGCTGGTTCTGTTTGTAAAAAAGGCTTTTTTAAATACTGTAAAAGAAGTTAGTAACACCTTTAACCAGAAGAAATTTCACTAAAAATACCCTAAACAAGTTCTCTATTCTAGTGTGCACCAACAGATACATCCAAGTATGTAATTCTTGAGTTATCCTGTAACCTCTTGATAAAATACTCCACAAAATTTTCACAACAATATCACTATTTTTCACACATTCCTTATTGAAGAAAGATTCTCCCCACTGAAAGAGAATGGGAACCTTTACTAGAAGGATGACTACAAAACCTCATCTTCTCAGCTTGTCAGATGAAGAACATTTCCAAAGGAGCAAAGCTGCCCAGCAGACACGCAGACAGTTGATAAACACTCATCAGGTCAGGAACATTCATCTGCTTTTGGAAAGCTCTGGTGAGCTCATTTCAAAACTCAGAAGCATTAGTTTTTCAGTATATTTCTGGGAACTCCT